TTTCTAAGCTGTATTTTATTTAGACATTCAATCCATATTGTTTTGAATTCCCTCCTATTTGATTGCCATTTGTTATTAAAATGAAATTCTGCATCATGTCTTCTTGCACTTGCTGGAAATCTAGTTTCTATCAGAAGTACTTTTGCTTCTACACCTAATGCTTGTTTTTCTATTTTATGTACAATACTTCTATTAAACAAAGTAACATGATCAATAATTAAAGTGTGTTTGTTTTTGCATCGAAGATAGGTACTTGGTCACCTTACATAAGTCTCATCTCATCTTCAACAGTATCCATATCAATATAATGAACTTGCTGGTTACCATTTTTAACACAGCTTGAAGTACAAAATAAACAACTGTGGAAGATTTTCCATTACCCTGAATACCTATGAGCTGTATTTCTTCCATCCACAGTATCTGTAGCCTCAATTTCATTTTTCAAAACATTAGTTAAATAGTCGTGGAATTTTGTACAACCAAAGTACTTGTTTTTGCCACTATACATGGAAGTATTTACAAAACTTCTGAAATATGGTGCAACTTTATCTGATGCAGCTATATCCCAGATACCAGGATCTAGTTCCTGAAAAAAAATCAAACTCATAAATAACACTTTAAATTTTGCAATGTTCATTTAAAGTATTTAAAGTATTAAAGTACAATGTATATATATATAGTTATGATAGTTATGAATGCTCGAGTTTAAAGCATGTTTACATTGTAATAAGAGACTTTCTTTAGAAGACACAAGTTAGTGAAAACCTAATATGCCCAAGACTTTATATAAATGAAAAATGAGGAATTCATATATGATAATTAAGCATTATACAATTTTATCATTTCAAGGAGCTTTCTTTTATGGTAAACTTTAAGATGTTTTTTAAATTTCCTTGTGGGAAACCATATGGTTAGATAGAAACAATAAAAGTATTGTATTACGCATTGTAATACCTATGTCTCGCATACTGCGAATTTCGTTGCAGGCGAGACAATAAAATTCCATGTAGGTTTGACAAACTTATTGATATCTAAAATCAAAGTGATGGAAATCACTCTGGGAGAGATTGGAAGAGTAGTTTGAATAATTTCAAATCATATTTAGGTATGATGTGGACAAAAAAGAACATTAATAAAGCTCTTTTGCTGACAATTGCATTAACTGCAGGTCTTTAGAAGGATAATATGGTGGCCGGATCGGCCATTTTTACTTTTCGCGTTTTCTCCTTTCACTTTGCAAACACGAAATCGAGAAATTGAGAAATCGGAAAATTTCTAGATTTCCCGAATTCACGATTTCGATTTCTCGTGAAAGTGAAAGGAGAAAACGGAAAACGCGAAAAGGCGAAATGGCCGCATCCAGCCACCATAGGATAAGCTCTTTTTCAGTAGCAAAAATGAGCTAAATGTGAATCAATGATAGCGGGTCCCTTAATTTGCACAACAATTTCATATCTAAACCAAATAATGTTCCCTGTTACATGTTTCACCTTTTTTGTTTTATCTTTAAAAACAGAAAGAAATTTCTAAATAAAGATTCTTCTAATAAAGTTTATCAATTATCCTGTAGAACATGGAACCAAACAGATAGACTCGAAACTAAGATCTTTATTGTCTCGAAAAATTAATCTAAAAATTCGTAAGGGTTCCACGGAACCCAGTGTCTCGCCTACTTTTGCTGTTAATCGCAGGCTCAACAAAAATGAGGAAAAAAATTAATAAAAATATTCCTTTCTATACCATCTTTTGATTGTAAGTAGCTTCTGTCCAAGTTTGGTACAAATCCATGATAGTTTATGAATCTAATAAATGTTTTAAAAACTTTAACTGCAGACTGTATGTAATGTTAACTGGAAGAAAAACTAAGTCCATTTATAAGTAAAATACGGAAAAAATGGATTTTTTTTTTTACAAAATTTCCTTCTGGATACTATCTTTTAATCATAAACAAGCTTCTTTCAAAGTTTGGTAGAAATCCAGGATAGTTTAAGAAAGTTATTAAAATTTCAAAAACTTTAACCACAGAGTGAATGTAATGTTTCTTGGCAGAAAAACTAAGTCCATTTATAAGTAAAATACAGAAAAAATGGATTTTATTTACTTTTGAATATTATCTTATGATCATAAACAAGCTTCTGTCCAAGTTTGGTAGAAATTCAGGATAGTTTAAGAAAGTTATTAAAATTTCAAAAACTTTAACCACAGAGTGAATATTTGTGGACGCCGCCGACGACTACGACGACGACGACGACGCCGACGGAATGTAGGATCGCTATGTCTCGCTTTTTCGACAAAAGTCGAAGGCTCGACAAAAAGGTTGTTTTGGGGGCATTTTGTAAGTTGAAACATAGGTATACTATTTTTATCCTCTATAAGAATTGCTTATTAATTTGGAAAACAATTATCATGAATAATAACACCCGAAGATTAAAAGTTGTAGAGTGTATTTTAATTCGATTTATAATTTAATATTTTCCGATAGAGAGCATTGAAATGTACTTTTTCAACATAAACAAATTAAAAAGCTTATTTATTGAAATGGGGATTCATTCTTAATTTCAAAAATACACTTCCTGTATTCACTACTTGGATTCCTTTTTTTATATAATGGATTTAGTTTTCATATTTTGTCTTTTCTTTTGTTTAACTTATAATCATTTATCTTTCAGACATAATTTGGGCATTATCAAACCAAGTAATTTACAAGTGGTTCAAACCTGAAACCACCCATTTTATTAATAGCTGCTGTGATCTTAAGACCTATTGACCGAAAAATCACCGGGGACGATCCTTATCCCATGAGGCATTATCACAAAAAGTGAAGTGAAACAAAAATTTCAGAATATCAATAGCTGCTAACCTCTGATATAATTACCCAATATTCAATAGCGTCTTCCTTACTGTAAGTTGGTTTTTCGATATGGTATTTTGAACTTATACCAAAGTTGGTTTGATAATTTCAAAGCTTTCAGTATTTTCAATAGGTGCTGTGATGTTGACCTTTGGTCAAATACCTATGGGGTCTACCTAACCCCATTGGGTATTATCAGAACTAGTTTGATACAAGTATGTCATAGTTTAAAAAATAACATCAAGGCCAGTTAACCATCACCTTAAAACTCCAAAATAAATATATGCAAAAAGTTGCCTCAGTATCTCCAAGGAGTCATCGAAAACAATTACTTTTTCGAGTTGAATGGCTATTAGGACAAAAGTGAACCAAGACAAAACTTGTGTGCACTCTGTATTTATATAATTATAGCGTCTATAAGATTCTTATGATTTTTTTCAACTGGTTATGTTTATAGAGATAACGAGATTTGCGATGTTCCCATCTTGTTCTTCAAAGTATCAGAAACAGGAAGTAGGTATAACAGATCTGAAAAGCGCACATGTTACAACTCATCACTGTTGGGCTGCTGACCCATTAATAATTATGAAGTCATCATAAGGTTCTAAAGTATTGGAGACGTGTTTAAAGTCATTATGTTGGGCAGTTTGAGAAAGAGATGATTTGAGCTTCCCAATTGTCATTTTTATGAAGCAACATTCCAGCAGCGCCTGCATACGGAGTAGATATCTCATATCGTATCATGATTTCCTTGATAGAGGGTTGCTGCTCAAAGGGAAGCTTTTAAACCAAGAGTTCCAAGTGGTTAAGTTGAAATCATCCCTTCGTAAATTTTACGGACGGACGCCATTATGAGTTGGTTGACCGTTATGGAATATCCGTTTCACAGATGACTTTCAATTGTGTTACAATCCCATCCCCTTTTCGTGTGACCTACCAGAGACTTATTACCGGGTTTGCACCAACATGAGCAACACGACGGGTGTCACATCTGAAGCAGGATCTGGTTACCATTCAGGAGCACCCGAGATCACCTTGTTTTTTGGTGGGGTTCATGTTGCTCAGTCTTTAGTTTTCTATGTAGTGTTCTGTGTACTGTTATTTAGGCATAAGTTTATTTTTGACTTTCGAGTTTGAATGTTCCTTTGGTATCTTTCGCCTCTCTTTGAAAGAGTGGGATAAAAAATATTTGTTGGACTATCAAGTTGATAGCAGTTTATTACAATTGCGGGAGCAAGGGAATGAAACAACTTAGGACTGATATACAGTACAACAATATGAAGTACCCATTTACAGCTTCCTTCACTTTGGTCATAATTTCAGAACACCAAGCCGGAATTCCAACCTTTCAATATCAATATTTGCTACTTTATCTTTTAAATTAGTTTTAACTCCCAAGTGTGCAATTTCCTACGGTACTTTTTGTTGTGAATGCATATTTAAGCAACAATAACTATGCAAAAATATTTGAATTCTTAGGGAATAAGGTTGACAATGCTTTGCTCAATATGGCTTTTGTCCGTGGTTATCTAGGTGTGTCAACATGCAAATTGATTGATTCTCGTTTGTATTATAACTAGAGGCTCTCAAGAGCCTGTGTCGCTCACCTGTATTTACTGATGCTTTGGAAATCATGTAAAATAAGGTTAAAATCATTATTAATAGTATTAGGTATTAGATATTATAATGATATCTAAGATAATAACACAAGAGTGCACACGCTGAAATGTCTCGCCTTCTTTACTAATCATTGATATTATGTTGATAGCCCTAAATATAAAGCTTTATCACAACTGTCACATAAACTTAACATTAACCAAGTAAACTAAACATTGACCAATGAACCATGAAAATGAGGTCAAGATCAGATGAACCATGCTAGGCAGGCATGTACAGCTAACAATTCTTCCATACAACACATATAGCTGACCTATTGCTTATTGTTTAAGAAAAACAGACCAAAACATAAAAACTCAACACTGAGCAATGAACCTTGAAAATGAGGTCAAGGTCAAATAAAACCTGCGTGACTGACATATAGATTATAAAATATTTCCATACACCAAATATAGTTGAACTATTGCATATAGTATTAGAAAATAAATGTGGATAGTGTCCACATTTGGACACAGATGATGCCCCCGCTTATCATATAGTTATAAAGGGACATAACTGAAGAACGGTAAAAGTGACGCTACCCAAATTTGAACTTGATCTGAGTTTTGTGGTAATAAGCATTGTGTGTAAGTGTCATAACATTTGGTTGAGGCTAACTTAAGTAGAGAACAGAAACTAAAAATTCAGCAATTTTTCTATTTGTAAACACGCATAACTCTAGAACGGTTGTGTATAAGTTTTACAACATTTGGTTGAGACAAACTAAAAAATTCAGCAATTTTTATGTTTATAAAGGGACATAACTCTAGAATGGTAAAAGTGTTGCCACCTAATTTCGTACTTAATCTGTATTATGTAGTAATAAGCATTGTGTATAAGTTTCATAACATTTGGTTGAGGCAAACTCAAGTTAGAGAACTGAAACAAAAAAATTGTACTTGATCCTTACTGAGTTTTGTGGTAATGAATATTGTGTATAGGTTTCATAATGTTTGGCTGGGGAAAACTTCAGTTACAGAATGGAAACTAAAAAATTTTGCAATCTTTCTATTTATAAAGGGACATAACTCAATAATGGTTAAAGTGACACTACCCAAATTCAACTTGATTTGTGTTTTATCAGTGGAAGTCAAAATTAAACATTGCATTGTATAAAGCAATGATTGCAGTTGATTCAACTATAATCATGGTCAAAGGAAGATAACTCCAATTTAAAAAATATATTATATAAACTTGATATTTAGAAGAAAATAAAAATTTTGCAATTTTTCCTTTTATAAAGGGGCATAACTCTAGATTGGTTAAAGTGACACCACCAAAATTCTAACTTGATCTGTGTTTTGTGGTAATAAGCATTGTGTATAAGTTTCATAACATTTGGTTGAGGCAAACTTAAGTTAGAGAACGGAAACTAAAAATTTTGCAATATTTCCTTTTATAAAGGGGCATAACTCTAGATCGGTTAAAGTGACGCCACCAAAATTCAAACTTGATCTGTGTTTTGTGGTAATAAGCATTGTGTATAAGTTTCATAACATTTGGTTGAGGCAAACTGAAGTTAGAGAACGGAAACCAATTTCGGGACGTACGTACAGACGGACAAGGGTAAAACTTAATGCCCCCTCCGCTACGGCGGGGGCATAAAAAGACCAAAACTCAAAAACTTAACTTTGACCACTGAACCATGAAAATGAGGTCAAGGTCAGATGACACCTGCCAGCTAGACCTATTGCATACAGTATAAGAAAAACAGACCAAAACACAATAAAATGCTCCGCTGGGGCGCAGCTTGATACGACCGCAGAGGTCGAACCCTGAACAGTTGGGGCAAGTATGGACACAACATTCAAGCTTGATACAGCACTGAATTTGGATTGTAATTAAATATTTGACACAGCATAGGTTTCTGACACAGAATGAAAGTGGTCTAAGAACTTAAAATTTTTTAATTTACCTATTCAAACCATATCATTAGTATTTGCTTTTATATATAAATCAGAAATAACCAATTTAAAAAGGAAAATTCTAAAGAAAAAAAAAAAGAATAAAAAAATCCCCCCCCCCCCCCCCCCCAAATGATTCATCACCCCCAAACTCAATCCCAGCCTTCCCTTTGTGGTATGGTACCTTGCAGTACAATTTCAGAGAGATCCATACACTTGAACACAAGTTATTGTCTGGAAACAAGAAAAATGTTTGTTTTTTAGCCCCAAATTCCTAAACGTTTAGGGCACTTACCCCCAAACTCAAACCCAGCTTTCCCTTTGTGATATGGAACCTTGCAGTACAATTTCATAAAGATCCATACACTTACACACAAGTTATTGTCCTGAAACTAGAAAAATGCTTGTTTTTTTGCCCTTTTATGGCCCCAATTCCTAAAATTTTGAGGGAATTACCCCCAAAATCAATCCCAGCCCTCCCTTTGTGGTTTGGTACCTTGCAGTACAATTTCAGAGAGATCCATACACTTGAACACAAGTTATTGTCTGGAAACTAGAAATATGCTTATTTTTTGGCCCCTTATTCCAAAGCTTTTTGGTCAATTATCCCCATACTCAATTCCAGCTTTCCCTTTGTGATATGGAACCTTGTAATACAATTTCATAAAGATCCATACACTTACACACAAGTTATTGTCATGAAACTAGAAAAATGCTTGTTTTTTGCCCTTTTTTGGCCCCCAATTCCTAAAATTTGGAGGCAATTACCCCCAAAATCAATCCCAGCATTCCCTTTATGATATGGAACCTTGTGATACAATGTCAGAGAGATCCATACACTTACACACAAGTTTTTGTCATGAAACTAGAAAAATGCTTGTTTTTTGCCCCTTTTTGGCCCCTAATTCCTAAAATTTGGAGGGAATTACCCCCAAAATCAATTCCCAGCATGGAACATTGTGGTACAATGTCAGAAAGATCCATACACTTACACACAAGTTGTGTCTGGAAGTTACAAAAATGCTTATTTTTGGCCCCTAATTCCTTAACTGTTGGTACCATAACCCCATAAAATCAATCCCCACCTTCCTTTTGTGGTATTGAACCTTATGGTAAAATTTCATTGAGATCCATTCACTTAAACTAAAGTTAGAGTGCAAAAACTAATGTGTCTTCGGACGACGACAACGTCATACCAATATAAGACCTCAAAATTTTTTTTGCGGTCGTATAAAAACTTGACTTTAACCACTTAACCATGAAAATGAGGTCAAGGTCAGATGACACCTGCCAGTTGGACATGTACACCTTACAGTCCTTCCATACACCGAATATACTAGACCGATTGCTTATAGTATCTGAGATATGGACTTGACCACCAAAACTTAACCTTGTTCACTGATCCATGAAATGAGGTCGAGGTCAAGTGAAAACTGTCTGACGGGCATGAGGACCTTCCAAGGTACGCACATGCCAAATATAGTTATCCTATTACATATAATAAGAGAGAATTTACCATTACAAAAAATCTTAACTTTTTTTTCAAGTAGTCACTGAACCATGAAAATGAGGTCAAGGACATTGGACATGTGACTGACCGAAACTTCGTAACATGAGGCATCCATATACAAAGTATGAAGCATCCAGATCTTCCACCTTCTAAAATATAAAGCTTTTAAGAAGTAAGCTAATGCCGCCGCCGGATCACTATCCCTATGTCGAGCTTTCTGCAACAAAAGTCGCAGGCTCGACAAAAAAACTGCAAAATTTTTGTAAAATTACTAACTTAGGGGCAGCAACCCAACAACGGATTGTCAGATTCGTCTGAAAATTTCAGGGCAGATAAATCTAAATCTGAGGAACATTTTTGCCATCTGTCAGATTTGCTCTAAATGCTTTAGTTTCAGGTATAAAAACCAATAAAATGCTCCGCAGGGCGCAGCTTGATACGACCGCAGAGGTCGAACCCTGAACAGTTGGGGCAAGTATGGACACAACATTCAAGCTTGATACAGCTCTGAATTTGGATTGTGATTAAATATTTGACACAGCATAGGTTTCTGACACAGAATGAATGTGGTCTAAGAACTTAAAAATTTTAAATTGGACATTCACCTATTATGGTCCAATATCCAAAATCTAAATACATGGTTAGATTCAGCATATCAAAGAACCTCAAGAATTCAATTTTTGATGAAATAAAACAAAGTTTAATTTTGGACCCTTTTGATCTCAATGTGGACAAAGTTGATAACGGGGCCCAAAAATAAAAAATCTAAATACATGGTTAGATTCAGCATATCAAAGAACCCCATATATTCAATTTTTGTTGAAATCAAACAAAGTTTAATTTTGGACCCCGATTTGGACCAACTTGAAAACTGGGCCCATAATCAAAAATCTAAATACATGTTTAGATTCAGCATATCAAAGAACCCTAAAAATTCAATTTTTGTTAAAATCAAACGAAGTTTAATTTTGGACCCTTTGGACCTTTATGTAGACCAATTTGAAAACGGAACCAAACATTAAGAATCTAAATACACGGTTAGATTCGGCATATCAAAGAACCCCAATAATTCAATTTTTGATGAAATCAAACAAAGTTAAATTTTGGACCCTTTGGACCTCAATGTGGACCAATTTAAAAACGGGGCCTTAAATCCAAAAACTTAATACACGGTTAGATTCAGCATATAAAAGAACACCAAGAATTCAAGAATAAAACCCCATTGAAATTGATCAAGAAATAAGCAATTTATATGAAGCATCTTCTTTTGCACAATACTGTGCAATTGAATATTTCTTGCTATTGCGCAATACTGTACAATTGACAATTTCTTGCTATTGCGCAAAATTGTGCTATTGGATATTTCTTGCTATTGCGCAATACTGTGCAATTGAAGATTTCTTGCTATTGTGCAATACTGTGCAATTGAAAATTTCTTGCTATTGCACAATACTTATTATATAATAATTTACACATCCTGTTTGGTGTGTATCTCCTACCATATCATCATTATTTGCTTTTAAATATAAATCAGAAATAACCAACTTAAGATGAAAAATTTTAAAAGAAAAAAAAAAGGAAAAGAAAAAAAAAAAAAAGAAAATAAAAGAAAAAATAAGAAAAAAAAAAATCCTCCCCCCAAATTTTTTGAACCCCCTTATGATTCATCATCCCCAAACTCAATCCCAGCCTTCCCTTTGTGGTATGGTACCTTGCAGTACAATTTCAGAGAGATCCATACACTTGAACACAAGTTATTGTCTGGATACTAGAAAAATGCTTATTTTTGGCCCCCAATCCCTAAACGTGTCGGGCAATTACCCCCAAACTCAATTCCAGCTTTTCCTTTGTGATATGGAACCTTGTAGAACAATTTCAGAAATATCCAAACACTTACAAGTTATCGTCATGAAACTAGAAAAATGCTTGTTTTTTGCCCCTTTTTTTGGCCCCTAATTCCTAAAATTTTGAGGCAATTACCCCCAAAATCAATTACAGCCTTCCCTTTGTGATATGGAACCTTGTGGTACAATGTCAGAGAGATCCATACACTTACACACAAGTTATTGTCTGGAAGTTACAAAAATGCTTATTTTTTGCCCTTAATTCCTTAACTGTTGGTACCATAACCCCCAAAATCAATCCCAACCTTCCTTTCGTGGTATTGAACCTTATGGTAAAATTTCATAGAGATCCATTCACTTAAACTAAAGTTAGAGTGCGAAAACCAATGTGTCTTCGGACGACGCCAACGTCATACCAATATACGACCAAAAAATTTTTAATTTTTGCGGTCGTATAAAAACTGCATTTTCCCCCTATGTTCTATTTTTAACCATCGGCCATGATGTTGGAAGGCGGGGTCATCAGACAAATTTTTTAAACTAGATACCTAATAATGATTATGGCCAAGTATGGTTAAACTTGTCTCAGTAGTTTCAGAGAAGAAGATTTTAGTGAAAGATTACAAAAATTTACAAAAAATTGTTAAAAATTGACTATTAAGGGCAATAACTCTTATAGGGGTCGACTGACAATTTTGGTCATGACAACTTATTTGTAGATCTTACTTTACTGAACATTATTGCTGTTAACAGTTTATCTTTATCTAAAATAATATTCAAGATAACCAAAAACTGAAAAATTTCCTTATAATTACCAATTCAGGGGCAGCAATCCAACAACAGGTTGTCAGATTTGTCTGAAAATTTCAGGGCAGATAGATCTTGACCTGATTATCAGTTTTACTCTAAATGCTTTGGTTTCAGAGATATAAGCCAAAATCTACATTTTACCCCTAAGTTCTATGTTTAGCCATGGCGGCCATCTTGGTTGGTTGGCGGGGTCATCGGACACATTTTTTAAACTAGATACCCTAATGATGATTGTGGCCAAGTTTGGTTAAATTTGGCCAAGCGGTTTCAGAGGAGAAGATTTTTATAAAAAGCTAACGACGCCGACAACAGACGCCAAGTGATGAGAAAAGCTCACATGGCCCAAAGAGCCAGGTGAGCTAAAAATGGGATTATGGACATGTTCCTTTTTTGTTATGGAACCTTGTGGTACAATTTCATAGAGATCCATAGACTTATACTCAAGTTATTGTCCTGAAACCAGAAAATCCTAGATTTTTTTTCCCTTTTTGGCCCCCAATTCCAATTCAGTTTGGGCCATAACCCCCAAAATCAATCACAACCTTCCTTTTGTGGTATGGAACCTTGTGGTAAAATTTCATCGAGATCCATACACTTACACTAGAGTTATTGTATAGAAAGCAAATGTCTTCAAACGACAACGAAGTAAAGGCAACATCTCTGCAAGAATATTTTATTTGTCCACTCATTCTTTCTTTATTGTTTGGACACTGATTTTATCACGTTCAACAAGTTTTGAATGTCAATATAAATTGTCACTAGGTTACTTTTCCACTTGTTCATTTAATCCCTTTTGGACTAACACACCTCTACTCTCTTTGTCGCCTGGCTTGAACCAATATAAGCACCTGTGAAAAATAAATGTCCCATGGTTAATCATCATCGCAGAAATAGAGTGAATCAAAATTTTTCCAATTAAATTTGTTCTATTTGAAGATGTTTCATTGCTCCAATGGAATGTCACTTATCCCAGCTGCATCTTATTTTAAAATATCAGTTATAACTTATATTACATTTAATTTGAAATCGATATCTTTACTAGTTACATTAGAAAAGACAACACTTCTAGAAAGTTATGTTTATCAAAATGAAATAATTTATATCAACACTACATTACAATACTTTAGTATAACAAAAACTTTTTAACTGCTGTTTATACATTTTTCTATTTAATTTTATATGCAATTTATAATTCTGACCACTAATTTGTACATATCAGACATAACAGTGTTCCTACTATACCTGGTAATTCTGCAAGGGGTTGCTTTCTCCTTTCTTTAAATATTTAAGGGATTCTTCTTCATCATATTTTTACAGCTACATTTTACATCTTTCATATTACAGTTCATTTAATAGGTATTAACTCTCTAATAAGAGTCATAAAGGTATGTAGTTATTTTTCTTCAAAGGTCTAGACGTAGTGCCCTGGATGATTGTTATCGGTTTCTGTCTAACTTTAGCTCATTTATTGCTGGCTCAATATTATTACTTTCATCAATGGACCAAATTAAAAATAACTTAAAATTTTCACTTTATCAATGTCTATAAAGACACATTTATTCTATTTCTTGAAGAATAGATTAAGGATTCATTTTGCTTAAATGCAACTAAGTGAAAATATCGGAAATTACTTTCAATAGGTCCAATTTTCATATTTACATATTGTTTATGGTTTGCTCTTGTGGTATCCTTCATTCAATATCATACATAAAACAGTCTTATGAAAGGTAACTTATTTTTGTTAAGCTGTGAATGTTTAAGCTGGTAACAATTTTTGGCAAGTAATCACTTTACTGATAACTGCAGTCGCATCTTTTAGTTCATATAGTTCTAGCATTATATTCATCTTCTATGGTTTTGTTTAGTATTAGTCGGTTGAGAGCTTTTAGACGAAATCTTTCATGAATTCATGCCTTTCTGTTAAGCTGTGTATTTTTAAACTGTGTGACTTTTATCTCTTTAATGTGGAAAAAGTCCTACTATGTTCAAGACCTTTATAATTATACTCCTCATGAAAAATAATTATCTTTTGTATGCACGACTTATAATACAATATTCATAACATAATGTTTTATTTCATAAATGACACAACATGGCATAATATGTTACATTTACAATTCTCTGACACTGGAAAGAAAAAGTAAATTTGGTCAATTTACACAATCATACATTTTATTATTTATTTAAGAAAAAATCCAATGCCTCATAACTTTTTACAGGATTTTTAAAACACTGATGTTTCAAACCGTACAAACAATATTATATATTAAGGTTTTAATATTTATTATTTCATGTTATTGTGGACAACCTACTTTGTAAGGAAGGGTATTTGAGACATTGGATTTCTACAGTAATATTGTGGATATAACAAAGACTCAAAATTATATGAAAGGTGAATTTATTACAACAATGGCTTATGGTATTATGACATCTTCATTTGATCCGTGACTAAATTTTTCATATTGTTTTAACAATTAAAATCCTGTTAAAACTACAAATTAAAACAATATTAGTTTGGCAAAACTAACAAAAATAGTCCAATTTCAGCTTTAAAATCTTTCAAGGTAAATTTTAAAGTTTACTTTTATCCATTTAATGTTCATATTCATTTTGGTGTTGCAAAAATAAAACTGCAGCATGTAGTATATACCTCAATTATTTCTATTGAGGTATCTTTACAGAACACCAATTTGACGGACAATACACAGGTACAGACAACCATTAACTATTTCAATAACCCCCTCTGCCTGCTCCATAGGGATGTGGTCTATATTGTCCTCTTCCACCTCGACCTGTTGGTGGAGCTTTTCCTGCTGTAGCTCCTGTAGCCCAAGAATTGTCAGCTGTAGGGAATAAAATAAAATATACAACTATAGTTTCTCTCTATTATCTTTATTGCTTTTCTCCCAGTTTAAATGTTCTGTATATTTAAAATATATACATTAACTAGACTAGAATTTTGCTACTCACAATTTGTCAATTAACAAATAGACAACTATCAACAGGGTTTGAATGAAACAAGTTTTTATTTTGCTTTATAAATAAAATAATGATTTCAACAACTGGCATGTTGATTTTTGAAGAAATCTTCATTAAAAAATTAGGGAAAAGGATCTGATCTTTTTTAAGACTTTCTCTTAAAAAAAATGCCTTTTATAAATCACAAGAATGATTTAATTATACACTACCTGGCTTACCATAAGATTCATCATATGAAGCGGTTGCTGATGCACCATGCCCATAATCAAAATACTGAGTGTCACTAGAAAAATAAACCAGAAAATTTAAATTATATAGTTTTTTCATACTCTTAATATGCTATAGTCAAAGAAGTGAAGAATATACCTAAAGGATCAAAAACTATAATCAATCAGAAAGACTGACAACAAAAAGTTTCAAGTTTTACATAAAAGTACTGGTTACAATATTCATCAAATATTTGTTATTTTTTTTATCTAAGCAACTTCAGTACCTGACAATAAACTTAAATCTGTCAGATATAAATTAAATGGTTGTTAAAAAATGGTTCAGTTATTCAAGTACACACATCCCCCCACTGTCTCCAAATAATATAATCAGAAATGACAAACCCGTGATTTGGCAAGAGAAACTTCCTAAATCACAAATGAAAAAAATAAAATGTCAGATGCTCAACTCCATGTCCTGCAGAAGAATCTATGTAGGTTTGGTTGAATTGTGTTGAGTGGTTTTGGTGAATATATTCACATTTAGTTCAGAGTACTATTGGTTTGTGCAAATGCTCATCGTTGGGAGGCCAAAATGTCTTCTCTTAAAAGAATAACCTTCTAGTAAACCTTGTGGTTGCTAATTTGTTGACATTTATCCTTTATTATTTTATTAAATTATTGGATGTCAAATTAGCTAAAATCTTACCCTGCACCATATCCACTTTCTGCATATGGATCTCTGGCATATGGATCTGCATAACCTTCATAACCCTGTAAAAAAAAGAAAGACATTTTTTTTTATCTTTCGGATACAATAAACAAAATATCTCCAGTACTACCTCAACTGCATTGAATTTATAAGTTCATTCAACATATCTAAAAGTGGGATTTTTATGTACAGTATATACAGTGTAATTTTTTACAGGTTTCAATTGAAGTTTACAAAATATAATTAGAATTGAATGCATATTTTTGTAGTTTTATTGGTGTAGTAATTGACAATGCCCACTTTCTTTTTAAAATTATGAAGCATAAAAACAATACATATGCTTTTTTCAACACCTTTACATGCCAATAAAACTAATTTATTAAACTACAAAAAAAAATAGAAACACAAACAATTCATTCTTAAATTTAACTATGATATGGTCACTTTTGGACATACATTCTAAAACTAATTTATTAAACTTACACCAACACCATAATCATCATATCCAGCAGTCTCAAGACTTTGAGCAACAGGGGCCACAGGGGGAGGGGCAGCCCTTCCTCGTCCAACTGGTGCACCACGACCAGCAACTCCTCTTGGTGCTCCACGTCCAACAGGTGCACCTCTAGGTGCTCCCCTGAAATTACATGTATCAATTAAAACTTCACATTATAAAAACAGGACAAACAATTATCAAAATTGTTAAAAACATCAGTCTTCACGCTTAAACACTGGCCCACCAGCCCAGGCTTGTAAAATTGCTTTCGGACCTATAAAAATCTCTCTTCAGGCCAACAGAATCCAACTTAAATTTGTTACGACCTGTAGATTCAAGAGTTTATCAAAGAAGACTGAAACTTGAGAGCTGCGCTGCTTAGTAACTTGACTATGTTGCACCTAGATCAATTTTTTCCAATATCAAGGAAACTATGAATTTTGATTTTTAAAACCTATATAATACACATTATTTCATAAGTAACATAATTATGGGAAAAGTTTTGTTTTATTGGTATTTTTTTTAAGTTGTGAAAATCTGGTATACAATTATCTTTTTGAGATGAAAACAAGCAGTGATCCACTTCTTTATGAATAAATCTATTTCATAGTTAATCTTATTATTCATGCTGAACTAGAAATGAAGTACACGTTACTCATGAAAACAAAATTACATTTCAAATTTAGTTTAAAACTATTAATACCTTGCCCTTGGGGCAGGTGCCCCTCTGGGTGCTCCACGACCTGGAGGTGCCCCTCCTCTTCCACCACCTCTAGCTGGCTGTGAACCATTTGACATGTAGTTCATCTCCTGCATCTGTTGTTGTGTAATTTCATCATTATACTCCTGAAAATAGTAAACCATGATATGCAGATCATGCAGCAAATATTACTCATCTCTAATCAGTTTGGATGGCAGTATTTACATATTGCATAATTTAAATAGTAATGAACGAAGTCATTTAAAAGAACATTGTAGAACAACTTTTAGTAATTAACATGTGAATCTGTTTCCAATCTGACAATTTTTTTTTCTGATGCATTTATTCTAAAAGATGATGATGCGGTATGATAGCCTACGAGACAACTTTCCACAAGACACCAAATGACATTAATATATGGACTTCTATAACATACAAGTGACTACCAGGTTAGTTTGATTATACATGTATCATATCAAGGCTCAACAGTTGCAACATTGTATCATATCAAGGTTCAACAGCTGCAACACTGAAGCACACTTACACACACATTACACTGAACTGCGGCCAAGCTTAGCGAAAGGTCGTGCAACATAATCAGTCAAACAAACTTTATTAGATTAACTCGTTATGGAACGATCGTTTTCATTGGTCAATTCAAACCTTCGACCTCACACCAGCGAAAATAGAACAAGCATACTATAAAGCTGAATGGATTGATCAGTAATCACGTAGCCGGTCAAGGTCGTTAAAAACTTCCATCGTCGTATTCACGTACATGATTGAGTTCTTGATTATCCCATGGCAATTCTAGCTTTTATACATGTGCATGTAAAATTTTAAACTTTGATCTTAACAGTCACGTCGAAATATTGAATTCAACTGTCTCCTCTCAATTGGTTCTGGATTAATGGAGCTACCATTTTATTTTGATTGGGGGTGGGGGACTTGGATGAAACATTTTGTCCTGCATTTTTTTTAGTTGTTATCTCTGTCCTGTCTTTCTATTTTTCAGTCTGTTAGGTCCTGACTATATTTATTTATCCTGATTTTTTTACATAAATCGTCATCCTGCCTTTTTTTGTCAAGTTGCTCACCCTGCCTTATCTTTTATTCAATGGACTTGATGAATTAACGTTGTACTTGAAATGAAGCCGTACTTAACTACAAAAATAACCAAATTACATACTAAAGATATTGCTCGATTTTTATAGTAAATGGGTTTGTGTTATAAACTGTCATGTTCATTATTCATATTCTTTCATAAGTTTTAGGATAGTGTGATTTTTTTTTCTGATTCAGTTTACTTGATTTTGAAAAAAAATCCTGAAATTCTAAGTAAATTCAGAACATGTAACCAGCCATGCTTTGTTTAGAGATAAAATGGAGATGGCAAACCATGGCACAGTGGAAGGAAATGTACTTTATAAACTCCAGCGATATACTTCCTTAATTTATAATTAACTGTTTTGCTATCCTCGGTTGAAAATTATATATTGTAAATATTTAAATAGTTGCATAGAAAACAATCAGTTTTAAACAAGTGTGGTTATTCACTAAATGTATTGATAAAAGGTGACTCCATTTTTGTACATACTTTTACAGTAGTCATCCTTAATTTCTTAATATTTCGTTTATCCTACATGTATGATTTTGTATTTCATTTTAAATACGCACGCATGCCACACGTTACTTTGGCGGATAGTTCAACAATGTTATGCAAAGCTCTATTCTTACGGTATGAAATTAAAGGATAAATTTTCAACCAATTAAAATCGAAAACAGTACATTTATATAGTTCCTTACAAACTACGACATTTCTCACAAGTATTTATTTATTTTTTAGTTCCACACATGCAAAAAAAAAAAAAAATCTTCGCAGATGAAACATTTCAATCCTTTTTACACCAACATGCCTTCACTGAATTCATTTGAATTTCGTGGTGACCATGATAGTACATCTATATTCAGGTGCACACATGATACGATCTTTTGGGGACAATTTGCTAGTTTATGACACGTTATTTCTGAATGACCAAACGCTTAGCTACTTTATTTTCGTTTTATAGCATGAAAACAGTAAAAGAGGAATGTGCAACCCATCATAAATTTGAAATGGATCAGTATTATGAGATCCTTATTATAAGTAACTACGACATTGTCAGGATAATAACCTAGCTTCAATATGAAAGAAATTAAAGTGGTTCATACATTCATCCATATAAAAGCGGCACATGTATTTTATTTTATCCTTATATTTTTCATAGTGCGGTACAAGTGCTGCATGCATAAAGAATATTACTTAACACAAATTATAAGTATAATATTTCGACCCCACTATTTGAAATTCACAAAATACTTATTTATTTCGACCAAAAATCATTGTTTTTTACGTTCGTAGTAACGTAGTACATTCCATTGTCGGTCACCTGTGTCAATTCACGTGCACACTACAATTGTTGTTGTATTTAAATCTTTCGGCCAATGAAATGAGATGTTACAAGTTGTTTGTTTGTGATACGCCAGAATGTTATCAATGAATTATCAATCGCTAAACTTGACTGCATTTCAGTGTAAAGGGCTGGAATGTAGATTTTACATTATGAACTTTGATGAAAAGATAATTACTGTACTAGATCAACTAGCTCTGACTTTTACAACAATCATTACATTATCCACTTACTGGTGTGAGGTATTTCTGTACTTCTGACAGAGCATGAGACAGACGAGCATAACAATCAGATATCTCACTGTACACTTCTATTAACAAATGAAGATCTTCATTTAAATGAGCATATTTTCCACCTTCTTTCCTCATCTCATCTTCCTAAAATTATAAAAATATATCAAAACACATCTAACAAGAATTGAGAGCTTGTGCTCACTAATTATACCCCCCATGACATAAACTTGGTATACTGAGACGTAAATAAAACCTTGAATTCACTGGCATAATCAGCTTAGTATAGATCCTTTAAGTCATATTCTGGAGAACAGATTAAGGTGACACAAATATATAAATATAAGACCAACATGTGGCCATGCCGTGTGATCCCACACTAAGTAATAGTTTACAAAGAAGAGATGTCTCCATTAACCGACATATTTCTATTATTAAAACGACAAGAAACTAAGATTTATACAACAGAAAATATTTATTCTTCTCTACGAGGATTCAATATTGCTAATTTATTGCAAAAGTCCACACTCATAAATAGAGTTATGGCATTGCAGCATTATTTGAAACACATAATATGACATACTGTGACAAAAGAAATACTGTAACAAAGACTGGAGACTGATAAAGATGAATTGACAATCTCTATCAGCACTATGGTCTTGTGTTTATCTTGCTCCGTTGTGTCATGTATGAATATCACATTCCGCTAAAAAAACTTTAGCATCCCGAAATATATATCAGAAAATTTTCTGCATACAGACACTAGAGCTTTTATTTCGTCTTATCACAGGGTGCAAATATTGGTCAAAATTTTTTTTTTTCTATGGGTCTCTATTTTGGGTAGTTTTCAAGAGGAATCCAACATTAGAGAATATGCCACAAATGTGTAAATGTGACTCCCTTTAGTACATGTATTTCTATATTACCTTTCCTTTGTCCCTCATTGATCCTTTACCAAGAATAGACATCTTTGTTCCAGTTTCCTCTTGCAGTCTTTTTAATGACATTCCTTTGGGACCAAGCAGTTTTCCAACAAAATTGAACTGTAAATTATATCAGAAAACATTAATATTGATAAATTTCTTTACTATGGATTTCCATCAAGTTAAAATTGTTCCTTTGCAATCATCCAATTAAATTTCTACATTCAAAACTCAGATTTTTAAGGTACTTGTAAATAAAGATGAGAGGATTAAATAACTTTCTTTACGAGCCTAGCCGAGACACATATATACCACATGTTTTTCAAAGCACATGTACAAATGCATATATTATAAGATCATTTTTATCATTTTCTAACTTTAACACTGAAGAAAGTGTTGCAGTGTCTATAGGCCAAAAAAATATATATGTCTGTTTAAGGTTACATCCTTTAAAAAAATAGGGTAGGTAGGTAGGTATTTCCATTTTATTTTTGGCAAGATGTGTGATGATGTTACATGTTGTTTTAACTAATATTTAGCGACTATATTAACTTTTTACTGTCATATAAACTTAAAATAAATTGTTTTGTCCTTTCTAATATATAGGTTTATTAATGTACATGTATGCAGGCATATATGCAGAAATAAATTCATTATGCTGTACTGGTGTATGAAAAATCAATATATATAAAACAAGAAGACCCATCAGAAACGAGGAAAGATGACAAAACCTGCACTTATATATATGAACGTACTGGTTCAAGTTTTGGGGGTTGTACCAACTCCTTGTATTAAAGAATGTTTCTTTCACTTTTGCAAATTTGATGCCTTAAACTTTTAATAAATTAAATTCTTTTATACCATAATGAGTAACCTTCCCAGGAACATTGCTCACTAGTTTGGTGCTGTGTTTTCTTTATTAGACATAAAGAGTAGACCCCCCTGCAGACCATACATATTATTAAATGTGTAGTATTTACATTTATTTATGAGAGGTTAGTCTGAAATTATCTATCTGTCAGTACTTGGCTAACCTCTACAAGTACTGACACTTAGAAAAAAAAAAAACATGCCGGTTTTAACAGGTTCAATTCCTGGTTTGAAATATATTTGCAGGGATAGGTGTCAAAAGGGTGATGTCAGATGACTTTTAATATTTAAGAAAAGTTGGGTATGCTCGTTCTCCAGCCATCATAACTTGAAAAAACATTTATTGCAGTGTTTGTAGCATTGTCTGCCGCTGTTTGGACAATAGATACCAAATTATTGTTGATCTCCTTCTCTCATAAAATATCTATACATTTAACATTGAATTTATCTACAACATCTCCAACAGTTAAGTTCCCGTCAACAATATAACCGTCACCTTGTAAAGGCTTGTTGAATTTCAGTCTTCCAAGTCACCGTTACTTTGTATGTTTTTGCAGGTTGTTTACTATGGTACAGATCAAACACATTGGTACCAATTATTAATTTGTTTGGTAACGTTGTCAAAATAGATTTTGTAAGCATGTGGTCGCATTTTTTTAACTTTAATGTGACCACGCTTGCTGCCTCAGCCTGATGGGGCCATGCAAGCTGCCATTGAGATCTAGATCTTAAAAACGCTTCAATATCGAGTCCGCGATTTAAAAATCAAAGCATTCAGATGATCACGCACATACTTTCACTTTTGTTATAAACTGAAAGTAGGTGTTTCCGGCTTTGTACTTTCACTTTCGATTTCATTTTTGAATAAAATGACATAGGGTCAGCACCCAAAAATAGGGACGGTCGGGTAACCGTCAGTGTTCTTTCCAGGATTTTTGGATAGCACCAGGGTAACGCGTGTGGACTTCTTGGTGAAATATTTCATGCAATCAGTTGTGTCGTGTCACGTGGCTTAGCTCTAGTTACTATAGTTTTTATGTCTCTTGTTTTGTTTTAACACTGTGGTACTGTGTTATGAAGACATTGATTCAGAAAATTATTGGTAAAAAAGAAGTAAATAAAATAAAATGCTCCGCTGGGCGCAGCTTGATACGACCACAGAGGTCGAACCCTGAACAGTTGGGGCAAGTATGGACACAACATTCAAGCTTGATACAGCTCTGAATTTGGATTGTGATTAAATATTTGACACAGCATAGGTTTCCGACAAAGAATGAATGTGGTCTAAGAACTTAAAATTTTTTAATTTACCTATTATGGTCCAATATCCAAAATCTAAATACATGGTTAGATTCAGCATATCAAAGAATCCAAAGAATTCAATTTTTGATGAAATCAAAAAAAGTTTAATTTTGGAACCTTTTGACCTCAATGTGGACCAATTTGATAACGGGACCCAAAAATCAAAATACATGGTTAGATTCAGCATATCAAAGAACCCCATATATTCAATCTTTGTTGAAATCAAACAAAGTTTAATTTTGGACCCCAATTAGGACCAACTTGAAAACTGGGCCCGAAATCAAAATTCTTAATACATGTTTAGATTCAGCATATCAAAGAATCCAAAGAATTCAATTTTTGATGAAATCAAACAAAGTTTAATTTTGGACCCTTTTGACCTCAATGTGGACCAATTTGATAAAGGGGCCCAAAAATCAAAATACATGGTTAGATTCAGCATATTTTGAGGCAATTACCCCCAAAAGGTTGTTAACTTGTGCCCTACTCCTCTCCAAAAACGAAATCATGTGACAAGAGTGTAAAAGTGATGAAAGTTGTGCACAATTGCCTGAATGCATTTCAGTGATAAAGAAAAGTAATGTCATATTTTAATGGATTTGACCTGAAAAAATTATTTGTAAACTAAAATTATTTAGAGTTTCTGTATAAAATATTTCCTGTTTCTTCCCTCTTTTTCATATATCTTGGTTTTCAATTCTAGTGTTTATATTTCACAGCTGTATTTTGTGACCTGCTTGGATTTTTAAAAATTTATTTATTGTATTTGATCGGCAAACCCGGAATATTTGCCTTATCCATTCCCGGAATCTGATCCGGTATTGTCTACATTTCCGGTTGATGGCAGCCATTGTTGTTTTCGTCAGTCAGATATGTTTTAACTCGGATTTTCACATTACTTGTTGGCGATTTTCGGCATAAAGCTAGCGGTTGAACAAAATAAACATCGTTGTCATGAATAATAATTGAAAATGAATTTTGAGATCGTTTGGGAATTTTGCTAGAATGCTAGAAAAACCATGAAAAATAAACAACACCGGACATTCGGACCGGATTTCAACAAAATTTTACCAGACCGATCCATTATTCACTGGATTTGTCCAACGGTCCGACGCATTTCGTGTAGTCTGGAAGATATGAATGTTTAACGGGAGAGACTATTTTGACTCCAACCCAACAGACCAGATGTGAACCACATTAACATATTGTGACATGAGAATTACTGTAACAAAGACTGGAGACTGATAAAGATGAATTGACAATCTCTATCAGCACTATGGTCTTGTGTTTATCTTGCTCCATTGTGTCATGTATGAATATAACATTCCGCTAAAAAAACATTAGCATCCCGAAATATATATCAGAAAATGTTCTGCATACAGACACTAGAGCTTTTTATTTTGTAATTAAAAGGTACAAATATTGTTTATATAATAGTCTCTATTTTGGGCTCTTTTGAAAAGAAATTTAAAAGTTAAAATATGGCACAAATCATTTAATTCCTATTAATTATGACTGCCTTCTTTATAGCAAAGTGTGTTTCAAACTTTAGTGTCTAATGCATTTTTATACATGGACGTTCACACAGACTATTTCTCTTGATACTTCTGTTAACCGGTTATTAGAAAACTTGCAATGCAGTTGAGTCCATCCTAGTCTGCTCAGCTAAGGAGTTAAGCTAATAAAACAACATTAATTAACAATACTTTACTCACTTTTGGAAAATCTGAAACAGGTATCTTTACTTTCAATGCAACAGCCTGAGGGCGGTTGTGATGAGCTTCAACTAGTGGCACTTGTTTCTTTGGCCCTCCTTGTTCTATTCTTTTCACCTCTGTAAAGAAAGACCAAATAACATATATTTATAAGATATGCCCTTAAAATTGCGTCCCAGTAATTTAAAATTCCTTTGATTTGAATGAACTATTGTTTAAACAGGGATTAAAACATCTTGGAATTCAGAAAGCAGGTTTATTTTTGTAATGCATGTAGCTGTAATTTAGCCTCCTCTCCATCCAAAAAATATTTAAGGTCCTTTAAAATTCATGTTTGGTTCGTTGCCAAGAACTATAATAAACAAATTTCACAATTCACTTTATATTTGCCATACAATGGTGTTTTTTATAGAAAATATTGTAATCACCAAATCTTGCTTGTGTATTATACATGCGTACATACCCTAACCACAACTTGGCCATTTTCAATTTGACATAATCACGAGAAATACCAATTCTGATCATCTTCGCTAGCCAAGGGTTACGATCCACTTCCCTCCTCTCCACCCTTGGCGGATTGAGATAGAAAAATTCGGAGACACAAGGTCATGATTTTCATTGGTTGCAGTCGAAACTCACTGCATCCAATCAAAAAGCACCTATAACATGATCACGTGTAAATGTAGAAAGTGCATGTAAACAATTGCCACATGCTTATTGTGCAACAAGTCTTTACATCCCTAAAGATACGACTATATTTAGTGACAATTTGAATGTTTTTTATCAACTAATAGAAGTTCCTGTGTATTTTTCTTGCACAAATGCATTAATGTCAAACGTATATTTTCATTTCCTGCTTTACCAAGTGTGTAGAATCTAGACGCTACCATGTTTTTACCTCCAAATTGAAGAGTTCAAGTGCTACCATTGGTCAAGAATAATATATTAGGAATGGGCGTGACTTTAATCTACCAAAGATGGTGCAACATTGTTATCACAAATGATGGCTTAATCTGCCAAGGGTGGAGAGGAGGGAAGTGGATCGTAACCCTTGGCTAGCGAAGATGATTCTGATTGGCTAATTATTGATTGTCTCACATCAGAAAGCCCCAAATCAGTAAACAATTTTTACATGTAGATTTTCAAAAAATTGTGTTTTAGAATTTTTTTTAAAGATAATGGTGCGATCCGGACAAGGTGGAACGCCAACTAATACACCATATTGCTATTTTTCCGCCATTACTGGATTTCACAAAGGTTCCCGTATAATTTTAAGTCACAATATAAAATGTCTGACTCCACAAGGGAAAAGTGATTATTGTATAATGTGTGACAGGATTGCTTCCCTTCATTAGTAGATACTTATTCAGCCGTAAGCGGTTGATCTAAAGAAGTACTTCTTGAGCTCAGTCAGTTAACGCACTGCCTTGTTACACAAAGGTCCCGGTGGAGACATGCGATTATGCAAGTAGAATCATGCTCTCCGGAAACATTTGGCGCCCAACATAAAAAACCCATGGTGGTTAGAGAGGAATTCTAGCTAGGGTATGTGTTGTGAGAGTCATGATGGTATGATGACTCTTGAGGTGGGGGAAGTGTGACGGGATTGCTTCCCTTCATTAGTAGATACTTAGTCAGCCGTAAGCAGTTGATCTAAGGAAGTACTTCTTTAGCCAAGTCGGTATACGCGCTGCCTTGTAACACAGAGGTCCCGGTTCGATTCCCAGAGGAGACAAAGATGATTTTGTAAGTAGAATCATGCTCTCCGGTTACAAATGTATTGCGTCAATAGTTCAAGTGTCACAGATTCCTAAATAACGATAAGGTTATCAGCTTTTGGGATTCTATGTCCCTTGTGATTTCCTTAATTGGCCGCCCACTGAAGACATCATAGCTGCTGACCCGAAGCTCTTATGGTTCTTAAACAAAATCTTGCATTTGCAAATAGTAGAATTAAAGATTATTCTTATGTTAATAGAAAATATTTAAATAATTTATGACCCATGTTCAGGTCGTCTTGGATAGGATGTTTTTAAATGTAAATATTTCGTTTCATTAGATATTTTCTCTGACATTAATCTAGGTTTGAATATTCAATTTCTTCGTACTATCATCTAATTATAAAATTTTTAACTTTTACATGTATGTCTCCACTTATTTCGTTCAGTCATAAATCATAGTCATATATACATGCAGAGACATATAAATACGGTATATATGTCTCTGATACTTGTAACTTGATTCCCATTTTATTAATCCCTACCTCGCATATCGATGCAAAGTAACTTGATTCCCATTTTATTAATCCCTACCTCGCATATCGATGCAAAGTAACTTGATTCCCATTTTATTAATCCCTACCTCGCATATCGATGCAAAATTTTCTAAGACATAAAGAAACACCGTTAATATCAATTTAAACCTGCAATTAAATCAAAATTTACTCTCCAAAGACGGGGCTGAAATAATGATAGCGTTCATGGAAATCGGCACGTTGAAAACCAGCGTGACAAATTTATTTTTTTGTTTCTAATTATTTACCATCGTTTAAGAGTCTTATTCCATGTGGCTGGCAGTTTGCATCCAGTTGGCTTATTTCACTTTTCATGGCCTCCACCAAACTAGAGCTTGCTTCTCCAAGAGAAGTTTCTTGCTGTTGTTGTTGCTGAGCCATTGTCTTGATTCTGTGTTCTGTCTGTGTCTTGATCGGAAAAGGAACGCGTGCTTTCTGACGAACTACTTTAAATCTTAAACTGGTTTCTAAAAGGATATCGGACGGAGAATGTTTGTTTGTAAAAAGTAACCAGTATAAAAATGTATACATCCGCGATATAGTGCAACATTTGCTAAAATGAATAAATTATAAGTATTTTATAGAAAAGATGATTCAAAATAAAAGATTATTTCTTTGAATATATTGAAAATAATAATGGAACTGTAAATTCACCACAAAAACACGCACACAAAACGGTGTTGATACAAAATAATCCCCTTTTTTTTTATTCCGTTGAGGTTCAAATGGGTAAATGTTACGGGCAGATTTTTTTTTTAAAAAGGTTCAGAAATTTTGACATAAGTACAAATATAATACTTCCATGGTTCAAACGTATAGAATAGTCGTAAATATCACAGAGAAAAAAAGTAATTTTTATTTTTATTTCTCAAAAACAGAGACATATAATACAATGTATTATATGTCTCTGTCAAAAACAAGCCCATCAAATTTTCTTTAACTTGAAAATCTTTAAACCAGAGACATATATACACATATATATGTGTATATATGTCTATGTTTAAACCAACAAGTCAAGAGCATCATGTATGAATGTTACAATAGACAGTACAGGGGCGGATCCAGGATTTTGGAAAGGGGGGCGTAGTATTAAAGTTCGCCGAGCGGAGCGATGCGAAAATTTTTTTGACTAAAAAATAAGTGTAAAATGCATTTTATAGTTAAAGTGTAGGGGTTGGACATTTTTGGTGCCGTATTCTCTCCATCAATTGTCTATTATGAAATGATTGGATGGATCCAAAGCTATGTACTAATTGATATATTTGATGTGGGATTTGTCAGTAAAGAATGGACATGGAAAATTCTCGTTTGTTGTATGGTTAGTTAGCATAACCTCACAGATTTCTTGTTATAAACAAGATATACGGCTATTCAATGAAATTTACAATACGACCGACACGAAGAAAGACAAACAAACAATTTTCATCCAAATGTTTGGTTGAAATGTTTCACCCAACAAGGGAAGTGAGGGGTTCCAAATCAACCAAAGGCTACGAATTAGTCGGAGATGACAATGAAGTTGTGAATGACGGTCGACACATGGAGACATATAGGCCACACCCAGCAGGCATGCTCCAGTCGGGCCTTGAAAAAAGTATTCAGTATATCAGTTCGGCGAAACAGACATTCCGGTCAGATATGGGATTCACATGCAACCCCCCAAAAAAATAAAATTACGCCCGTTTTTTATTCATCATGTTCATGTAATGCTAAGTAACTCTGTTGAAAATATTTTTTTTCTAATAGCAAAAAAGTGGACAAGATTATTGTTTTCAATCCAGATACGGCCAGAATTTTTGTTTAAGCAAAAATCAGGGTCGGAATTTTTTCTCTAAAATATCTCAGACTCCCCCCTAAGATCAAATGGTCCGTACCTTAGACTTTAAATCTATATCTAGAGCTTACTTACTGGGGATAACTATTCAGCAATGTTATTAATGGGCTGGGGAGTGTGGGGTTAAACATGTTTTCGTAGGTAAATAATATTGCTGTGGCAAAGTTCACGAAGTCTAGTCTGATTAATCATTTTACAAAAAAAAAAAAAAAAAAAAAGTGCAAGCAAAGGGGGGGCGTACGCCCTCTACGCCCCCCTCTGGATCCGCCACTGCAGTATTACTTAGGGGGTCTTTAGCGACATTGACTACCTATGAGGGTCTCGCACTGACGATTCATTAGCACAAATACAATTATAACAATAGATAACAAGACTACATGACTCCTACAAAGTACAATGCATAAAATATATGACTCAGTGACATCTTATATCAGAAGTCCATAACTAGAGTAATGGACTTCTGCTTATATGAATAACAAGATATAAAAGTGCATGTAATGATAGTCATATGTATGTAAGAACTATAAGAAAACACATATTTATTATTTCAAGTGTAAAGACTCACTCAGGCTGTTGAATAACAATTTTTATTTAACACTTTCACTATAATACATTTTAATACTTTTATCGCAAGGCCGGCTTCTCTTTCTCTTTTACGATTTTGACAAATCCATATGAAGTGGTTTTCGTCTCGATCAATTTTATTTTTCGTTCGTCAATTACAAAATTTAAAAAATAAACTGAAAAATAACCAACTTGACAAAGCCAACTATAGGCGGCTACTGTCAGTGTTCTAACTATTTATTCTAAAATTTATGAATATGTGTTTGAAATACAACTTGGTGATTTAAAAAAAAATATATTTCATCCTTATCTATGTGCTTTTAGACGTAGCCATGGGTGTCAGCAGACCACACTGTTAAGAGTCTGCTAGAAGATTGGCGTGCAGCATTAGATAATAACCAGTATATATATAGCTACAGTTCTATTGGACCTTTCAAAGGCTTTTGATTGCCTAGCTACCGTATGAAATTCTGCTTGATAAATTCCATACATTTATTTTGAGCAATTTCAATTTCTGCCCTTTGGCATGGCATTTTTGTACTGAGAAAAAATCAAAAAATTAGAAAAAGTGCAAGAAAGAGCACTAAGATTTGTGTATGAAGATCATTCAAGCTCATATCAATAGTTGCTTGAAAAGGCTAAGATGCCTTCACTGCATATAAAAAGACAAAGACCAATGGCAATTGAAACTTTTAATATAGTTAATAAATCAGTACCTGTCTGTTTACATGATCAATTAAATATAAAAGATTGTAAATGTTCTTTCAGATATAGTAATATACTGGATATTCCACACGTAAAAACAACACAGTTTGGTAAGAAAACTTTTAAAGTTTTCAGCTGAGCACTAAATAGTTTTTCACAATTCAAGAGCCTTATGTTTGCATCATACCGTACATTTTGCATGTGTGCTTTATTTTTTATTTGTGCTTAAATTTTAGTTGTGCTTCAATTTAAGTTATGCTTCAGTTTTTGGCATGTTTAGATGTGTAGTTTAGTAGTCCTTTGCATGCATTTTCAATATGTCTGTGTTGTATCTATGCATTGAAATAATAATGGCTGCTTATATATCTTATCTGCATGTTCTGTGTTTTAATGTTATGTATATATGTTATTTATATTTGGTAAAAAGCTCTCAAGAGCTTATGTTTGTACTGTTATATGTGAACCGAATCAAAATAAAACCTTCGTATTAGTATCTTACATTTCTAGCAATTTCATTATATATATATCTCTCTCTCAATTTAGCTAAATTAAAATTAGATATGGAACATATGTCCCAGATTAGATCGATCAGATTTGAGAAGATGTTGATCCGACAAAATAAGTTGTAGTACGTTCCCCTATCGTCGAATGTAACGAAAAAATCTATAATTTTTCAGAATAATGTTGTTTTTAATTTTGTTTGCACTTGTAGGCTTTGATCTGACATGAATGCGCTAGTGTAATTGGTTAACAAATTGTTTAAAAGTTAAATTTGAATTCTGGACCGAAAGGGGAAACCAAGCCTTTGAAGACACGAAGCTATTAATAACCCAAGGCTTTTCTATGCTTTACATACACATATCAAGGATACTCTATGGATATAAATACCGCTAGATTTTTCAAGTATACGGTAAAATGTACATCGCTAGTAAACATGCAACTTTTGGTGCTAACGTTTTAAAACAAATATATATACAGGACATACCGAAACAAATTAGAATTACAATGATTAAACAAAATTAAAATATATATCCGCTAACTTTGGGTGGACTCTTGAAGAGTATTAACAGTTCCTATTTTAATAGTCATGCGTCGTGTATCTCGTGGTAAGTACATATCAAACAGGCCACATTCAATGGTGTTATGAACGAGGAGAGAGGGACGGGATTATGGCTACAAGAAGTGGCATATATACGTGGTATTCTGTGGCAAAGATATTCCATAGCGGTCGAACAATTCATTGATGATATACGTAAAACTTTCGAAGAGATGACTTCTAACTATAATGTTTGTTCCATATGTATCTTGTGTTCTTATTTTGGTGAGAAAAAACTTTCTTCATGGGATAATTAAATAGTAGTTTTTTTAGAGTCTTCGAAATTGTCCCAAATATCACCCTGTTTTGTAAAGGAAACTGAGTACGAAAAATTACATGTTACTCGCCGTATCTTTATAAATGGTTATTTAAAATGTCTTTGTTTTGTGTTACTTCTGTATGATATCTACCAGAAGATCTCGTCTTCCTAAAGTGTATATGATGGAGCTGTATGATGTCTTCCCAGTAGAGCTCGTCTGCTTTATTAACTATATGACATCTACAAAGAAGATCTCGTCTTCGTAATCTTTAAGATATCTACCAAGAAAATGTCTTCTTCCTAAACTGTATGATATCTACCCAGAAGATTTCGTGTTCCTAATCTTTAATCTACCCAGAAGATCTAGTCTTTCCAAACTGTTCAGTGTCATACGTTGTATTTAAATTTGTGTTCTAATTAAGGTGAGAAAAAAAACTTTCTTCATGGGATAATCGAATAGTAGATTTTTAGAATCTTCGAAAATTGTCCCAGATATAACCCTGTTTTGTTATGGAAACTGATTCCAAACAAGTACTATCTTTAAAAAAGATATCTGACGCATTCAGATGTGAGCATATAGTTTAAAACAAATCATGAATCTTTATCAGTTTTATTTTAATCATAGTTTAAAAAAAATGCACACTATTTGACGGCAAAAGGCTGACGATTCTGAAAGTTGAGTATATGCGCTTTTCTCTAGAGAATTTGAAATCTGTACTGCATGGTACTTAACTAATGTATATATATAAGTATTTTTCAGAGATAAAGAAGTACATATAGTTGTGAAATAGACATACACATAAGATTTTAGTAGGTAACAATCTGAAATGAATAACAAACTTGAAACCGTTTATATCCATGAAGAAATGTAAAAGAACAACTTTAACAATTAGAGATACAACCTATTTCGGTGTGTATATATATCGGGGACGGACGGACGACAAAGAGAGAAGATCTAATACACGCGGCTTTTGACAAGTAATTAAATTTCCGATAT